CTCAAAAAAAATAAAAAAATAAATAAAAAAAATAAAAAAAATAAAAAAAGAAATGCTCACTAAAAAGAGGAAATTTATAAAATTCAACATGAAGCTAAAATTCAGTTACAATAGCATAAAGAGAGACAAAGCTTGTTATTGTGCCATAACAGTTTCAAAGGGCCTTGAGTAAGAGATCTGATCAGCTTACAAGGTGTTTATAATACTTAGGTAGATAATCACACTGAATAGATTCGTAAACTGTACATAGTAAAAAATAAAGAAGAGGAGAGAGGAGGAGGACAAAATGTTAGCTGGAAATTCTACAAATCTTACGTGAAATTATTTTGAATCTTCGCGCCTGCATCAACACCTACCAAAGCATATAAATCAAATACACAAAAAGCTCTGTGTCTAGCCATTCTGTGGAATCTATTAATAACATTTAACTGGAAATCTAAAAATCTACAAACAACCATTTAATGTGGGGAAGAGCACAGAAGGAAACTGAGGCTCGGAGCACCAAAACAGCATTGCTGGGATCATAAGCCAGGTCTTCCAATTTAAAGTCTGAGGCCCTTTCTGTATCTGCAAGGTGCCCCAAAGCAGCCACAAAAGTTCCCACTCCAAGAGTCTATTAAGGATGTAGTTAAAACTGCCTTCTATTTCTGCCATGGACTTTGATGAGTGTGCTCTTGGTCTTTTTGTCTTTTCCTTCCACAGTCTCCTCCCCTCCCTTCAAAACTTGTCCACCCTGCCCTTGTAGCTTTTTCAATTCTTTTCTACATTAATCTCCCTACCACCATTCCCCCCACCCTCTCTCTCAGCTCTCCTCTCTTCTGTTTCACTCTCTTCACCCCCTCTAGTACTCCCTCTCTCAGGCTGTCTCCTGCTTCACTCACACAGGAACCACTCTCTTCCTCTGTCTCTGTGCACCACCTCCTACCTAACCCTCTTATCTCATAGTCAATTGTTGAGAAAGAAATCTCCCTTAATGAAGTTTTTTTCTGATAGACCAGAAAATCCATTTAAAACTATCTACCTGGGCAGCACCCCCATATGCCAGAGGTGGTGGGTTCAAATCCAGCCCCAGACAAAAACTGCAAAAAAAAAAAAGAAAACTATCTACCCACAGTTGACTAAATTAGGTAAACCCAAGTCATTCTCATAAAAGTGTTTAAACTATTCAGGAACTTATTTGTGCATAATATGAACTGTATCCCATGTGGTAATTGACACCAACCTGACTCTCCAAACAAAACTATTCCTAGGTAGGCCAGGCAAGGTGGCTCACGCCTGTAATCCCAGCACTCTAC